TGGCTTCTTGCCTCAGTGGACTCAAAGGCAAGGATGAAAGGAAAGCCTGTACTTGGTTTTATCACATGCACTGACTTAAATTTTGTGAGCCCTAAAATAACATGACTCAGCTAATAATAGCGCTCACTCTAATTCACAGATAGTTTCCCCGCAGCTGTTCACTGAACTCTCATCAGCTCACACATTCTGATCAACCCAAACAACATATGGGAGCAGTGATGCTCTCCTACAAGACAAACGTAAACCAAACTGTTTTACTGAGGGTAGGTCTGTGCCATGAGTTTATTTTATGTCCTAAACCCATTTTATTTCCCATTCCCTCTACATTTCCTGGTTCCAACAGGATATTGTGGGAGCCTCTCCCATGCAACTAGAAACAGGAAGCACCTGAAAAGCCATGAGGAAAAAAAAGTCTTTGTGCCAAACCAAAGTCAACATTTTAAGAATTAAAAAGCCTGGGACTGGGGAGATGGTTCAGTGGTAGAGCACTTGCTAGCATGTGTAAGGGCCCTGGGTTCAACCTCAGCACTGAAAAAAAAATTCAAAGTCTTAGATATTTTGGAAAGGTGTCCACATTTTTACAGAGTTTCTTCAACCCAACCAACATGTCAGCCTTCTGGAGAGAGCACTGTTAGCCATCATGAGGCCTACAGTGAGGTCCCAATTACAGAACAACCTATGATCTTCCTGAGTTCACCTGAGTTTTCTCATGAGCTCCTCACAGTAGCTGCAGGGGTGGATGTGATGCAGGCATGACATTATCCTTTCCCACTGCAGGGCCAAGCAACCAGCTTGAGCCACACAAAGAGCGGGTGAAGAACTGGCTTCCACCAAGATCACTAGCCTTTTGTGGTCTTTGCATCACCACACAGAAGCGCACCCAGAGCCAGCAGTCCCCTCCTCCCCTGGCTGTGCCCATTCTGACCAACAGTGGATTTCCACAATCTTTTCATTCTGTCGCTTCTTGAGGCCACAGTGGGTTTCAGTTTTTCCAACTGTAAAATGAAATAATTCTGCGTTAACCACTATCTCGCACTTAGATTCAGTTCAAGCCCTTGGGGTGAGGTCCGCAGCCGGACACCACAGGCAGGAATTCTCTTCCCACATGCACGGCCACTTTTGAACAGTGTGGTCTCCGTTTTCCCTTCTTGATAGCTGGGACTCTGTCATTTGGGTTTTGTCTATCTGGTACTTACCAGAGACTTAGTAAAACTGAGTGGACTCTATTCTTGGGACACAAACGGATCACCCTATAATGATTAACAAACACTTGCTCGCGACACAGTAGCTAGAATATAACATAGTATATTAGTATACATATGATTAGCAGACATATGCCAGACACTTCTTAAGCACTCACAAGTGTTAAGTCAATCCTCTTTGTAGCCCCTTGGGGTAGGTTAGGCACAGAGAAGTCAAACAATTTAGCTGAAGTTTCACTACTAATAGAAGAACTTCTAGCATTTCAGTCATCCAGTTATCTGCCTCCCCACAATGTAGCATGTAAATAACCAAATAAGAAAAACTCAGGCTTGGTTGGACAAGAATATCACCTCTTTGGACCTCAATACAGACCAGAGGCTGATGTAGATGACATCTGAAAGGTCTTCCCACATTAAAATGCTTCCACTGTGCTTAACTATAATGTGATCCTCACCTGGAACAGAGAGCTTGAGTCACTGAGATTTTCCACATTAAGATAAAATAATGGCTGCTTTAAGAGCCAAAGTCAGTTTAACCTAGACCACAGAACAGGGAAATGGAGATCTCCAAAGCCAGCAGAGCACAGGCAATAGTCCTCTCACACACCTTCCAGACCCCTGCCAGTGCCGGCATCCGGAGAAATCTGAGCATCCGTGGTCCATCTCTTGTCACAGAACCAAGAACATAGAAACTTTCTGTTTAGTCCCTTAGTTTCACAAGGGGCTGCTCTTGTACCCCAATACTTGACAGAGCAGCTCCCATTCCTTACTTTTCAAAGAACAAGTTAGGATATGCAAGTGTGTGTGACCAGGGAGGGAAGATTGTGGCGGGTAAAATCATGTTGTTAATTTCTTTTCTGATCCATGTGGCCATCGTGAAGTAAAGGAACAATCAAAGCAGAAAGGCCCGGGCCCATCCCACAGCCACATCCCATAAGGCCACAGTGAGCCCCATATCAGTCAGCTGTTATTGCATAACAAGCCTGAAATCTACACAGCAAACAATAGGAAGGTGGATTTCTCACTTGTACAACTGCATGTGGGCTGCGGCTTAGCTAACCCAGGTGGGCTATGGCTGGAATTCTGCTCAGATTTGCTCCACATGTCTCACCCTGGAAACCAGCAAGCTCCATGGAACATGCTGCAGGCTCAGAAGCACTGAGCAGAGTGGGTGGAAATGTGTTGCCCAGCAAGGCCCAGCTCCAAGCTCATACACTGTAATGTGAATGAGGGGCACATGGGGCAGACCTGAGAGAACCTGCCAGCCCCACCTCAGTGGGATCAGCTCACACAGGCACCCATGTTCCTGCCAAATGTCACATCAGAGCCACCAGCACAGAGGAAGGGAAGACAGCCTGACTGGAGAGCAGGGTCAAAATGCCACATTTCCCTCACCCTGCGATTCTGCCTGTAAGACAGTTCCAACATCATTCTTTCCTGTTTTGTAAGGGTTGTTTACAAGTTCTCATTTAAATCTCACTTTACTTGGAAACACCAAAGCTAACTGAAATTACTACTAACCACAGGAACATAAATGGTTTGCTGGGTCAGAGAGATACAAAATGCAAAAGCCGGCTCTATCACGTACTATCTGAGTGGCTGTGGGCCTCTGACTTAGGTTCTGAATCTTGGGTTCCTCACCTGTAACAGGACAGTGAAGACACAGAAGCTGGTTTTGGGGTACCCTACCCCTTCCCCTCTGTTCTCCTCGTAACTACATGGTCTGAGGGCCAACTGCTACCACTTGCATCTGTGCCTGAGGGTTTTCCTAGCCCCCACACACATGGCCCAACAGAATACCAAGTGGATGAAGACACCAGCAGGGTAACTTGAGGTGTGTGCTCTCTGCAGGCCCCAGCATCACCTCAACTGTGTCCCAGTTGCCCATGGCAGTAACTTCCCAGATGCACATCCTTCATGGGCTGCCTTCCCTTTTCTTTCTCACTACTCCAAATTCCCCTGGGTGTCATCTGAAGTAACTTCTACAATCAATTACTTATAATCAAATCCAAGTTTAAAAAAAACTTTCCTATGACTTTTGTAAAGATTAAGTAAAAGAATGTGTAAAGCCCTCAGACCAACACCCACCAACTGCTAATCCCCACAACTGCTTTACAAATGTTAGAAGTGTGAGCCACAGAGGGTACAGAGACATGAACATGGACATTTGACCCCAGATACCTCTTCCAAGGACTGGATTTTCAATTTCTGGCCCTTATGTGGTATGCAGAGCAGCCACCGGGGATAGTCACAGGTCCCCATTTCACAACTCATGTATTTGAAAGATGAAAGTGGCGGTCCTACTTTCAAGTGGTCCTACTTAATGAGTCTGGCTTCAGTAACCCCTGCCTCCACTGCCCCTGCTGATTCCTCACTTTCCCCAGCCTGATGAGCTCCCAGCAGGTTGTCCCAGGGGCTTCCCTTCTTCCTAGGGAAAGAGGAAGAATGAGCTGGGGAGTCAGAACAGTCTTGACACGTTATCTGTGCATCTGTAACTATCTTTCCCCTGACTGATTATACTATTTTTAAAATGAAATTTTTCTTCTGACTAGGAGTACAGAGATAAATAAGGCCAGAGTTCAATTTCTCTGCAGGGCCCAGTCAGAGAAGGACAAAAATACTGTAAAAAACTTGCCCTCACAGGAGAGGGCTTGTGCCTTCTGCAGGGTCGTTTTTCTTAGGGGCCACCCGGCTCGGGTCACCTGAGTTCCCAGAGAGTCAGGGAGGGACCTCCACAAGGCAGGAACAATGCAGTTCCCAGACAGCATTTCTTAGAGCCCTTTTTGGTGACCACAAAATAGGAAACCTGGGAAGCCAGGGAAGCCCAAAGACAATGTGGACTCAGGCCAACGAGGCTTCTGTCCAAACAAATAAATTATGGGGGATTAAAAAAATACTCCTGCATACACAGAGTAAGCGGGTCCCAGCTCACCAATACTAAGCCAAGAAAACCCAAGAGTAGAAGCTTTCAAACTTAAGCAAAGGAGCACATTCTCTGAATCTGAGTTCATCTTCAACTGGGCTAAACAGCAATGGACTCAACCATCCCCAGTGCCTACCATTGAATTTCTAAGCAGGGTGCCTGAGAGGACACATTTTCCTTACAAGATCCCAAGCACTCCTCAGTGAGGAGCTCTTAAAATTGCATTGTTGGAGCTCTATGACATCTGTCCAAGTTCAAGAACCACAAGAGAAGGAAAGTCAGACCTCAGATGTCACAAGTTGACTTCATGTATGAGGGTGCTAAATTTCTGTCACACTGCTTTATGTCAGGCTGCTTTATGAATCCTGGGTCTTCTCTTCCCCCTGCCTTAGAACACCTGCCTACACTGCAGCCAGGCGCTCTGTGGGAGCCCAGTGATCAGATGTACAGGGCTGGAGAGGTCATCTGGGATCATCCTCAACCTTTCAGGTGAGGAAACTGAAGTCTAGAGAGAGAAAGTATGTTTTCCAGGGCCCCACAGCATCTGGAAGTGCCAGAAAACCAAGCAATCTGTGCAACTGCTTGGTGGAAATTTGGTGAATTTTAGTCACTGAAGCTTTGTAAAGCTTGGTAAACACTGTAAGCTCTAAATAGAAATGAGGCAAGGCTAGGCTAGATGTGTGCCCTCTTTGCATCTGCCTCTTACCTGGGCGGGGCCTTGGGTTCCATAGCCCATCCAGAGGCAAGGAGTGCTGCTTCTCAGTAGCACATGGGAAGCTGACAAAAATGTGCAGGTGGAAGTACATTCGGAGAGGATGGGTGTTTTTGAGGCAAGAGGTAAACAGGAAGATGCAGGATAATTAATTCATACTCACCTTCATAGCAAGGGATCAACGTCTTGCCTTTTGCCTGGAGGTTGGATGGGATGATGTAACAGAAGCCATGAGGCAAGATATGATCTGTTTCATAGTAGATGTTCTTCCAGCGGTGGGCACAGGCCTAAAAGGGACAGAGGAGTAACAGCAGGAAAGTCAGCCTCAAGAGCCACCGTGTGGGTGGTTCTACACGAGGAGACAGGAGCAGAGAGGACAGGAAGCCGCCTTCTTTCCTGCCCATCTGTACCTTCACACCAAGCCCCCAGGTCAGATGCTCCTGGCCTGGATGAGGCTGGGGCAGTGGAAGTGAGAAGGGAGGCTTTAGGACACCAGAAATACAACTAAGAGTCTCGAAGGAAAGGCTGGGCATGGTGAGAGGAGGAGAGAGAGGAACTGCGCATACTGAACCGTTTTTACCTGCAGAGATGCTTCTGTGTGCATCTGCTTCACTAGAAGTAAATGCTTTACTGATGATTCTTTTATTGAAGCAAATTGGCATATAGCAGAATGCACAATTCTCAAACACACCAATTAACAATAGTGACAAATGCCCATACCCTTGTCACAAAAGCCCTAACAAGACATAAAATATTTCCATCTCACCAGAAAGTCCTCTGATCCCAGGGAGTGGCTGGGTTTGATAGGCAAGTCAGAGAAGGACTAACACAGTGAGGGTGGAGACCACCAGGAAGGTCCAAAGCAGAGGATCCCAAGGGTGAGCGACAGTTTACGGCAGTGTATGTAAGAAGATGAGAAGGCCATCAAGTCAGAGGGGTCCCTTCACCAGCTCTCAAGAGCAGCCTCATAGCACACAGCTTCCAGCCACCAGGACTGGAGTCAAACCTGCCAGAAGATGCTCTGCAGCGGGGCAGAGCACTGGGTGCCAGTAGCCACAACTCACACCTGGCTCATCCTTCCAAGCCAGAGAACATGCCCCTGCTTCCTGCTCGGATGTGACTCCTGACTGTTCCATGTGGGTGTCTCCGTACGCCCACAAACCCCAGCACTAATGTGGTGTCCACTTGCTCCCTTGGAGGGCACATGTTCTTCCCAGCCCAGGCTGCCTCTTGGGCACGTTCCACTTACTTCTAGCGTCAGTTCACTTCATTCTGACCAGTGGATGCACTTCCTTAAAATACTGAATTTTAAAATAATCAGAGACTTAATGTCTTGGTTTCCTCCATGGACACAGTTTCCCAGGGACTCCATCACTCAGCACTCCCATACTCTGCCACTGACTTCTTACTGCTATCCCCTTCATATACATAGGGGATTGGTGCCAGGATGCTCCTCAGATACGAAAATCTATAGATGCTCAAATCCCTTATATAATATGGTGAAGTGTTTGCACATAACCTACACATACTTGCCCATATACCTTAAAGCATCTCTAGATTACTTATAATGCTTACTATAATGCAAACGCTATACAAATACTTGTTATACTATATAGTTTAAGGAAAATGTCTGTTCTCTACCTGCTAAAATGTTCTTGATCCATAGCTACAGAACTCACAAATAAGCAAGTCTAAATGTAATTTTTTTAATTTTCAGCTCTGAAAATGGCTTACAAACTTGAATCGCTTATTGTCTAATTCATGGGTAAATGCATTTTAGCTTAGGGCCTCAGCAAGGTCTGTGGTTCGGAAGGCTCACCATGTTCTATCACAGTTCTGGGTTGAAGAGGACGATGTCTATCATGATGCTAACAGCCAGATGCACACTAACACACATCAGGAAGGACCTGCTACGTTTAACAGATAGCATATTATCTGCTCATTCTTTAAATGCTATAAGCTCTTTACAGTGACCTTGGAGAATTCCTAGAAGATTCAAATACTGTATTTCATACTAATCTAAAACTAAGACATTGTGGGAGGTCAGAGAACAAAGTGTCAAAGGCAGGGTCCATGTGGAAAAACAGTAAGAGGGCCTCTGAACATTAATTACGGAAAGAAAACACTGTGCTTAGCCTGATTATCATTATGTACTCATGTCCATCTGACCCCTACATTAAGAAAACAATCCAAAGGACTTTTTGCAAAGTATTAATAACTTAATACAACATATTCATACAAAGTTATTGAGTTATTGCTACCTAATACAAAGTATTACTAATTTAATCTCTCCTATGAGTTGTGAGGGAGGAACGGAGCAGAGCAGGGAAGAACAGAAAAAGAAGAGTATTCTCTGGAAACAAGACTTGCTCAGAGCTAGGCCTGTAGCTCAGAGGCAGAGTACTTACCTTAGTACATGGCCCAGAGTTTAACCATACTGTGCCTCCAAATCATTCTAAGAAATGAGCAGAGGACCTACTACCACCCAAAATCTTAGAATCTAACATATTTTGAGTTAGAAGGGTTATTTTTCCTCCCAAGGAATAAAGAGAAGTAAAACATGAACAATTCATTCCAAAGGCTTTTCTGTTGTACGGCTACAGCGCATCTTTCCTGGCGGGTGGACTCTGAGTTTCTCCAGGTGGCTCAGCCACAAAGGCCTGTCAATGTGCACTTAGTCTCCACCCTCTAATGTGCACTGGCCGTGTACAGATGGCCAGAGCCTCTCCCATGCTTCCAGGTCCACGGCACATAGCCAGGCCCTGCTCTCGGCCTGGGAACACAGGATCAAAGTGAGGCTCGATACCATGGGACTCCCCTGCAGGGGCTCCCAACCAAAGAGGAGGCAGTGGCTGGGAAGACACCAGGAAGGGACTTCCAAGGTGCCGGGAATGTATTTCAGCAGCTAGAAAATTCAGTGAGGTGCACTCTGATGATCTATGCGCTTTTTCCGTATGTGTGTTATAGTTCAAGAAAAAGCTCGTACACACACAAAAAAGTGAAGAAACAGTGCAACAGATGTAAATGCAAAAAATGTACTCTGTAGCTTTTTCTAAAAAATGGACTCATGGGAAGCAGTGAGCAGACAGGGACAGCCCTGATGTTTAGAAAGGAAACAGCAGAGATAGAGCCAGAGAACACTGTTTCCACTCAGAAATAATCTAGAAACTTAAATTACTTGCTGTCTGACCCTCACTAACTCTGACCAAAAGAAGCAACATTAGATTTGAACATTTTGAGCTGTCCTCCAAGGCCTGAGAGAAACAGTCAGTGCCTGAGCTGGGTTTGTTCCATTGTTACTGCAAGAAAGGATTTTTTTTTTCCTCCTTTATTTCTTTTAAGAAATAGATGACTTTTTCTTTAATTTTAAAGGGAGTAGTACATGAGACACAAACAAAAAAATAGAGCAGTAGCAGCATACGAATATAAAAAATAGATGACTTTTTAAAGTCATCTGCACCCTGGGATACATGAGGAAGACATGAAAAGGAAGAGACTTGCCATGGCTGATTTACACAGGGGATCTGTGTAACTGGAAGACACCAAAATGCTCACAGAGCCAAAACCTGCAAGTATTAGGCAAGGTCTGCCTACCACACTTGCCTGACATCCTAGCTCTTGGCAGAGCTGGTTCAGATAATACTGTCTGCCACTTAGAACCTTGACTCACTGCTGTTACAACTTTCAAATGCTCCATCTGTTCTTTACTTTGAACTCAGCACCAGATGCCCTTTCAAAGCACGTGCACAACCTCATCCTCTTCAGACCCATCGCTGGAGTCCAGTACTGTACTGCTATGCCTAAAGATACAGGTCTCACCCCTACACCCCAGGAACCTCACAAACTCTCAAAATGTATCTGAACAAAATATATCCTATCTTTCATTTTAAAACTAATACCCCCAAGAAAGCCTTGACAAAGAGGATGGAGACATTAAAGAAAATCTGAATGTATAATCATCCTCAAAAATATAAATACAGGCTAAATGGCCATTCAATGTACCTTGTTGTCACACATCATTGTGAGGGGGCATTTTACAGCATCTTGCCTGGTATTTCTAGGAGTCACTTAGAATCAGCTACCAAGAATAGATGACAACTAATTTGGTTTCTAATTATTTTAACATTGACCCTTCAGACACCATTCTAAGAGAGCTGTCCTTGGGGCACTGAGAGTAAAAGTGGTTTCCATCCCCAAGTGACTTCCATAAAAAGGTGGGGAACACATAAATACAAAATAAATTATAACACAGTATAAGGCAACAGTGTAATGTAGAGTTCCTAATGACACAGAACATGCTAAGCTTGTTCACAATAGCCCAAAACAGACTTTGTGGAGGAGGCAGAGCCTAAACTGGGGAAGAAGGGGGAAAGTCAAACAAGAGGGGATTTAGGACAAGCCAGACCTAGCATGACAGCACTCATGAAAAACACATAAGGGCAACTCAACGACAACTGAAAAACAATCCAATTTAAAATTGGGCAAAGACTTAAACACTGCTACAAAGATATACAAATGGCCAACAAGCAGATGAAAAGACTCAACATCACCAACCACGCGAGAAATGCAAACCAAATAATGAAATACTGCCTCACATCCATTAGGATGCCACTATTTAAAATAGGTCAGGCAGGCAGAGTGGCTCGCTGGGAGAGCATGTGTTCAGCATGTGCAAGGCCATGGATTCAATTTTAGCACTGAAAAAGACAGTGCTCAAAAAGATGTGGTGAAACTGGAACCTTCATGCACTACTGGTGGGAGTACAAAATGATGCAGCCTCCTTGGAAAACAGTGTGGAGGTGTCTCAAAAACTAAAATTACTTTATGATGCAGTAGTCCTACTGCTGGGTATATAACCCAAAAAATTAAAGCACGATCCCAAAGAGATATTTGTAGATACAGCACCATTAATTAGAACAGCCAAGAGACAGAAGCAACCCAAATGCCCACTAGTGAATGAATTAAGAAAATGTAGCATATACCTACAAGAAATATTATTCTACCTTAAGAAAGGAAATCCTGTCATAGGCTCCAACATGGATAAACCTTGAGGCTATTATGCTAAGTGAAAAAAACTTGTCACAAAAGGACAAGTACTGCATGATACTACTTTTATGAGATCTAACGTTAAACTCTTAGTATAGAGATGTGAATGTGGTTGCCAGGGACCAGGGGAAGAGAGAAAAGGAAGACGATCTGTGGATATAAAGCTTTGGGTTTGTAAGATGGAAAAGCTCTAGAGCGCGGTTGCAAAACAATGTGCATGTAGTTAATACTACTGTTCTATATCCTTTTTTTAAAAGGTCAAGATGATTCACTGTATGTTACAAGTTTCTGGTCATAATTGGGAAAAAAGGAATGAGAACAGCAGATGTTCTCAGGTGCCCCTCTTCTCAGCACCCACACACAGTGGCTTGCTGGTGGGTGATTTAATTATTGCACAAGACCAAGAAAAATAGCTCTGTGTACAATTAATTAGGCAGGATTATGCACCACATCACTAACTACAAATACTCAGCTCTGCCTTCTTGGCTTCCTTGGCCAAATCTTCCTTGTGCCGCTCACTGCTGCTCATGTCCCCAGAGACAGCTCCTTCTTGTATTTATCTGCTCTGATTCAGAACCCCTCTCACTCTCTCTCTCCCTCCCTCCCCCTCTTTCTCTTCCCTCTAGAAACAAGTTCTTGGCCACCACATCACCATTACCCACTAAAGAGAAGAAATATCTTCACAGGAGCAAACTTCTAGGAGCAGAGCCTCAAGAACTGTTGTGCTACCACCAGTCCTCCCTCTCTTCTCTGTTCTGAATCATGACTTCAGGCCACTCTTTGCTTTATAGATGTTCAGATTCTTCTCTTTCTTTACCCAAAATGGAAGACAAGAATTCTGGCGCTTCTGGAGCCAACTCATCCAGTCATCCATGGGGTCAGGACACCACGCATAAGAGAATGGGACAGCTTGGCCAGGGTCCAGGGCCTCTCCCACAATGATTAAGGGACTGAAATCCAAGGCAAACAGCAGGCTTTGGGGGATGGGGGACTCAACAGGACCTACAGTGGGTTCCCACTGGGAGGCCTGCAATGCTGACCACAGCATCCAGCTGCCTCCTCCCTCCCAAAGGGCCTGACTAAGGCGAAACACTTAACTACACTGAGGAGGGTAGAATTCAGAGGAACAGCTTTTGCCATAGAGAAGTTTAGTTGGTTCCTCAGAGAGGAGACTGAGCCATTTTACTTAAATTCTCATGAAAAAACTTGTTTCCCTAGGTATAAAATATACATAAAACCTTCAGTTTTATAACTTTGGCCCAAAGGAAGCCCTCACTAAGTGGCAGCTAACTTATTTTCCCTTCTTAATCTTATGCTTTATAATAAAAATCTTCTTACAGATTTCAAGAAAAGCCAATAGCAGAAAATGCCCATGGAGTCACAGTGGTTACCTTGGGAGAGGGGGGTTGGGGTACTGATCGGCAGCCAAGGGCAGGAATGAGCAGTGGGGTGCCTGAGCACACACACGTGAAATAGTCACCAAGCTGTGCACTATAGCTGTGTGTGTTAATAGAAAGATTTAAAAGAAAAAGGGGAAACAGACAACAAAAAAATTTTGTAATGATGCAAATGTTCTCTCTCTGTGCTGTCTAAAACAATGTAACACACAGTAACCATATGTGACTACTGACCACTTAAAATGTGGCTAAGTGGGTAAAAACTGAATTTTCAATTTTGACAAATTTAAATAAACTGTGGCTGGTGGCTAGCTCATTTGGCTGCCTAGCTGTAGGTAACTGGGAGTCTGAATAGCATAGATTTTCCTCTTTCCCTCAAAGCACCTAATGGATCAGAACATATCATATGCATTTGGGAGCCAAATAATGACTAATTAAAATAACATGTATTTTAAGCCAGGGTCAGGAGTACATCCCCATAGTCCTAGCTACTCAGGAGGCTGAGGCAGGAGAATCACTTGAGTCCAAGAGTTTGGGGCTAGCCTGAGCAATATAGGGAAACCCCATCTCTTCTTTTTTTTTTTTTTAAAGCACCTATTTCATAAAATGTAATAGTATATAAGAATAAATAAGAATGAACTACTGATAACACCAATACAGATGAATCTCAAAAATATCTTCCTTTACAAAAGGCTTGCAAAAAGAGCACATACTGTAGGAATGCATTTACTTGAAGTTCTAGAAAAAGCAAAAGTAATGTATGATACTACCCATCGCAGCAGTGGCCATCTCAGAGGTAGGGGAAGTTGACTAGACCGGGCTCAGAGAACTTTCTGGGATCATGGAAATATTCTGTATCATGGTATAGAAGTGTGACACAGTGGTGTCCAACTGCCAAAACCCAAACTGCAATCTTAAGATTTGTGTATTTTATGCAAATTATACCTCTATTTATGTCTTTTATAAACACATGTCATGGTTTGTGTCTGGATGTACCCCCAAAGCCTCATGCAGTCACGGTGCAGGCTTTCATAGTTTATGATTGATCCATGGTCCAATGCTGGGATTATGGGTGTGAGTGCTACACCCACCGTGGGGCGGATAGTTTGTATATGTAAGGGAGGGAAAGAGGCTGCTTGCTGCCATTCCTCCTCCCTTTTGCTCTTGTCGCTTTGCTGTTTTCCGCAGCCATGAACTGTTGCCCTCTGCCATGTGCCACCTGGCCTTGGAGTCAGCCAAGTACAGACTGAAACCTCCACAAACTGTAAGCTAAATAAACCTTTCCTTCCTTAATTTTGGGCATCAGGTATTTTGTCTCAGCAATGAGAGAAAAGTAATCAAGACAAAACACACAAAAAACTTACAGAATGAGTGATATTTACACACTTCTTGCCACATATATTTTGTCATTTTTCAACAGCCATATTTCCACACCAAGGGACAAACATTGATATTTGACAGATAAAGACAGTAAAAAGTTAAGTCATTTGTCTGAGCAGCAGCGCAGTCAGGTAACCTCAAAGCCTTGCCCCATCACCTAACAGGTCAGAGCCATGCACACTTAGGTGTCAGCCATGCCCTTTCTACAGACCCCTCAGGAGGCCTTACCAACACTCGGCCATCCGCACCAGGCTGCCGGGCCAGGCTCACTCCCATCCACTCGTCATCCCGGTCTTCTCGACAGGTCTTTCCACAGGATGTACCCCGATTCTTCCCTGGAAGAAAAGGAGAGAAATCAGACTTGGGTAGAGGAATGATCTCTTCTGGCTGCTTTGCAAAGCCCATAGTTCAAATGTTTGTTACCTGTATGGAAATAAGAAACTTACAAGAAAAAGTCAGTCAACTCTAGGACTTTGTAACAAAATATAAATCAGTGCCATCACCATGTACACTACTTAATCCAGCCAATTTTCTCCATATCAAATCTCGCAATGCATGAAGCAGTGTACTGACTGACATGCAGGAGCAAGGTCCTATTTTGTCTTGTACTATAACAACCAGCTCTCAAACCAGTCCTCCTGAGCAGCATGGAACATGCTACTGATACCTTTCTTCTGCTGAAGAAAATCATGATGACTCTTTTATTTAATAATAATAATAATTAGAACATCTTGAGAACAAACTCTGAAGAAAGTAAAACCTTGAACTGGTAATTATAAAAAAAAAACAGCTATTTATCAAGCATGGTTCTGTGTACTTGCCTCTATTGTCTCATTTAAACTTCTCAAGTGAATCCTGTAAATAACCTTGATCTTGGTTTTATAGGGTGAGAGACTTGAAACCCAAGAAGCTACAAGACAGTCCCAATAAGTTCCAGCCAGATCCATCTGATTCCAACATGTATTTCCCATGAAATAAAAGTGAGCTTTTAAAAACATGCACTCAATCATGTCTTTCCCTACTTAAAATATAAAACCTAAAATTGATTTGTAATACGTCCCTATAGATAGAAAAACAATGTAACACCTGACCCTGGCCCACTCGGCCCTTATGACCTTGCCCCAGTCCACTTACCAACCTCCTCCACTCACCACTGCAACTACACTGTCCTCACTCTGGACTTCACAATGGGGTCCCTATCCTGGAAGGTTCTGCCTCTCAGACCTTCTCGGCTAACTACTCTGCAGCCTTCTAATCCTCAGGGGGCCTTTCCTGACTCTCCAGTCTAGGTTCAATCAAATACACACCTTCCGTCTGGTCTTCTCTCAATTAGAACTGCTTTAATGGCTTTAATGATTTTGACCACTAATTTTCAAGACCCAGGATGACAAGACTTTTTGTTCACCAGTGTATTCCAGTGTTTAATCACTAACAGGTACTCAGTACACATCTGTGGGAGAAAATGATGAAGGTACAGATGGACAAGTGGGTAAATGATCAGGTCACTTCAGCAAGAAGAAGAGCAAAGTGCAGAATCCACTTCCACCTTGGCAATGATCTCTACCTACCTCGAGCCATGTCCAGTTCTGTACATCTCCGGTCAGGGTTGGTGTGCACACGGCACTTAAACACAGCCCCAGGGGACTTCACTGAAGTGCTGTATTTGGAATCTGCCTTCGGTGCACCCACGAGGACCCTGTGTATCAAGAGGAAAAGGCATTCTGTCACAACACATTGCTAGAGAAGAGCAGGCAGATGGTTAAATATTTACCCAGGAGTGGTAAGCAACCTGATTGCTCACTGAGAAGCTAGATTATTTTACTGTGTATCCACATGCTGTAGGTGGGGGGTTAGTCCAGGTACATTAAAGGTTTAAGGGAGGACAGGGCATATGACTCAGTGGCAGAGCATGTGCCCACCATACATGAGGTCCAGGTTCCACTACCAGCAGCATTAAAAAGAGAAGGGGGAGGAGGGCAGGAGGAGGAACAAAAGAGGAGGAACTGGTGGCAGCAGAGAAGGAAGAGGAAGGGAAGGAAGGAAGGAAGAAAGGAAGACAGACAGGCAGGCAAGAAGGGAGAGAGGCAGAGAGAGGGAGGGAGGGAAGGAGAGAGAGAGAAAGAGAGAAAAAGAAAGGAAAAAAAGAAAAGAAAGAAAAGAAAAGAGAGAAGCTTAAGGGATAAGGGCTCAGGTATAGCTCAGTGATAAAGTGCTTGCCTGGTATGTACCAGGTCCTGGGGAAGAAAAACTTAAGGGATAGCTGGGAACTTGTAAAACCAACAAAAGGTTCCTACTCAGAATCTATAAAGAGTTCCTACAAATGGGCCTGGTGCTGCACATCTATAATCCCAGCTGATGCAGGAGGATCACAAGTTCAAGCCAATCACAAGCAACTTAGGGACTTACCAAGACTCTGTCTCAAAATAAAAATTTAAAAAGAAAAACCAAACTGAGGATATATCTCAGTGAGAAAGCCCTGGGTTCAATCTCTGGCATGAGAAAAAAAAAAAAAAAAAAACAGAAAAAAAATAAAAAAAATACAGTCATAAACTCACACACACACACACACACACACACACACAATAGAACAGTGAGTCAAAGACTTGAATAGGTATCTCATAAAAAAAGACAGCCAT